ATATATATATATATATATATATATATATATATATATATATGGTTTTTTTTTTTAATTTTTGGATGGGATATTAGCAAATATCTGTATTATACACTAAGCTATTACAGTGGTACTTAAAATAATGTAAATTTGCAGTCATTGTTATAAAGTAATAAAAGTGGAGATTACTTAAGTATTTAAATTATGAAAGAATAATGCAGACTTTTTATTGTTTCTTAACTGACTAGAAAGAGCCACCAGCATTACTCTGTGCCTTTTGGACTTCAGTTTGTGTGTCTGTAGGAATTGTGTGCATTCCATTCACACAGTGTTTATAATACTGCAATGAATTTGAATTGCAAATCCTACAGTAAGTAGATAATAATGAAACTTTCAATATTTCAGCACTCTCATGAATATTCTTTAAGTGCTATTTAAACCTCCCCATCACTTACATGCATATAATGGACTTACCTGAGGAAACCCAGCACAGAAGCATGGGGAGTGGTTAACCAAGGTGAATTTTACATACTGGTGTGTAGTAGATTTAAATTCTCAAAACTAAATTTAAGTAAGAAGACCTAATAATTGTGACATTTTTTCCCAAACCGAAATACAGAAGAAAATAATGGTTTGAATCTAATATTTAACACCTATTTACATAAAACATTTTATTAAGATGTTTTCTAATGATTTTAATTTCAGAGATTATCTTTTCATTCTGTGTGTTACAGAGAAGTACAGAAAAGTTCAGGACATTTGGGGGCTGCTTTTTTCCCTCTAAACTAAAAATGACATTGGCTAAATTATTACTGGTTAGTCATCACCTTGTCCCTTAAAGTCAGTGACTATTCTTGTGTTTGATATATATTACATAGAGTCTTAAGTCAGTGTACTGTTCCGCTGGAATTTGACAGTTGTCTTTAAAGTAACGCAACTTGAAGTAGAAAAGAGTGGTCCTGGACATAGAAGGGAGGTGGTTGGTTTAAGGGGTTAATGTGAGGCCTTTTTGAAAAATGCATATTTTGGTAAAGAGAATTCTCTTTTGAGCACAGCTGATACAAATGGGTGATTGTCATGTTTGTTGTATAAACTGGTTTAATACACTTGGAACATAGGTGGTTTATATTCACTTCCTGGGAAAGCTAGCTTACCACATATTAAAGCTTATAAAATAAGTTGCCATAGGCAAAGCCATTTAAAAAGTTTATTCTGAAATTATTTCTTTTACCTACAGTGAAATAATTGTTAAGTAACTAGTCTTTACGGAAACTGTTGGATTCTAGGCATTCCTGAGAAATTGAAAGTGGCTACCTTTCATGTCAAAAATGTTGATCTATTATAAATAAAATGTTTTTGCATACTTGTTTTGGTTTTGGTTTTTACTATGTGTGTTTATTTTCATTTTGAAACACTATATCCTACATCCAAGTAAAATGAAATGAGAAAGTGTATGTTCATTAAAATATATTTTATTTTAAGAATATAAGCTATATAAATTACCTATTTTAGTTTACTTTTACTAAAAAAAGATTATGTTGTATAAAATTAATACATTTCCGAGGTGATTTAAAGAAAAAATGTTTAAATTCTTATTTGCTTTGAACTGTAGTAGAATTAGTATGTTTATTACCTGGTGAATAAATAATATATTTTTAATGTGATAATTTTTATTAATTTGTGACTCCATTTATCTAAATGCTAATGGTTTTTTTGGAAAGGCACCAGCTAGCAAGATACACAGTATATCTCAAGTGAGTCCCCCTTATTATGCTGTTAAATATATTAATGTCAGTAAGACTTCCCATTTATTTTCACATTGATTTTTATGGTAAAATATGGATTCTTTAAACACAAGACAGTCACTAATCACTGAAACTGCATGTGTTCTTCCAAAACAAGCTGTAAAACTCCCATCCTCACTCTTTTTAAACAGAAGTAAAAATGATACAAATTAAAGTTAAGTTTGCAAAGTAATGAAAAGTTAATTTGAAATTATGCTCCAAAGCAAGCCACAGACTAAAATTTTTCAGAAATCCAGAAGTGCCATAGTTAACAATTTTGCTGAATTATTCCAAGAGCGATGCTTGAGTAGTATAGCACTGTCTACCTCTCTATACGTAGTATCCTTGACCTTCATTTGTTTCCATCAGTGCACCTTTTGAAAGATTACTTTGCTAAACATCAGACTGACTTACAACCTGAATGAAATTGTGAGTAATTTTAATGGGATATCAATTCAAGGTGCTATCAAACTTCCTTTTCTTACAGAAAAAAAAAATTGGTTCAAATAGTCTCTGAACTAAAATTTAGGGAGGTGAAATCAGTGTGGGCTGAATTGTCTTTTCATGACCCTGATTTTTAACATAAACTATTTTAGACCATTATTTGACCTTTAAGGACATAACTTTGTCTAGACCTACCTTGTTGATCTTTGAACAGTGATAGCCAACTGCCGCTAACATTTTGTGCTGATTACCAATTTCGTAACTACTTTTTGTGTAAATAATGTATATTTAAAGAGCTTTGTAATTGGCTACTCTAATTCCTAAAATTCTCCAGATTGTCCAGGTAACAATATTCCAACTTTATTTTGGTTGTTAACTCTCTTACAAGCAAACTGTGAAGTAAATTTAGCCTTTCATATGAATAGACTTGTTTGAAAGTTGTAATGTAACGTTGCAGTGTTCTTGGTTTGTTACTATTTTATTTCTGTACGTTTAAAAATAATAGGTTAAAGCTATATGCTACTAATCAAAAATAGTAAATGTATCTGCATATTGGTAAAATAATTGGATTTTAGACTATTTTTGTACTACATAAGGATGCTCTGCATGCATTTCATCTGTGGAGTCTGTGTTCTAATCACAATCTGAGAGTGCCACATCTCATCATTCCTATTTTTCCTTCAGGACTAACTACAGGAAACTTTGTGTTGATTGCCTTCTTTATGTTTTACTTTGTGTATTTTAAGAAATCTTAAAATAAAAATTTCCACTCGCTGTAAGAGCATACCAATCATAAAGTACACAATAGTTAATATAAACTTACCACAGTATTTTAAAAGTTTTTTATGTGTTTTTGATAGCATATAAATAATTCCTTCAGTTCAGTGTGGTGAGGAATGTAAATTATTTGCTTTTCTCCAAAGAGTCTTCAGTAATATCTGGAAAGTTCTGTTCAAAGCATGTCTATATTAGAGGACTGTTTGCGCGCGGGCTTTTTCTAGTTGCGGCGAGTGGGGTCTACTCTTCGTTGAGGTGCGCTGGCTTCTCATTGCAGTGGCTTCTCTTGTTGCAGAGCACGGGCTCTAGGCGCGCAGGCTTCAGTAGTTGTGGCTCGCAGGCTCTAGAGCCTACGGACATCAGTAGTTGTGGCACACGGGCTTAGCTGCTCTGCGGCACGTGGGATCTTCCTGGACCACGGGTTCGAACCCGTGTCCCCTGAATTGGCAGGTGGATTCTTAACCACTGCACCACCGGGGAAGTCCTGTTTTACTATTTTAATTCCTTTTATTTCGTTAAAGGTTACTCCATTATATTTATTTCAATTAGATCATTTCGTGAATAGATTTCTTGAGGGACTTTAATGTAGCAATATTTATGTTGTCTGTAAACTACCATTTTGTGTCATTATAAGTATTAAATTCTTTGTCAGTAATGTTATTTAGGGTTGTCATTTGTTGATAGCAGTCTGCTTTTTAAAATTTTAAACTACTATCTTGGTGGAAAAGCAACCCTCTCTTGAACTGTTGGCATTTGCAACCTTGGATATTTTTAGATACGGATTTTCAAAAAAGCTGGAAATATTATAAATATCTCTATATGAAATATGCATTGTTGAATAGTACTAATAATTTCTCATTGACTTTATGATTTCATAGATGCTTTATCTTTATTTCTGACAATTACTTGACAGTTCTTTAAATTTTTAGCTTTCTCTGTTTGTAAGCTGTCCGTCATGTATCAAATAACGAACTTATAATGAATGCTTTAATAATGTAAATCATTTCCTAATTTATTTTTATATGGATTTTATAAATATAGTCACCTTTCTAACAAATTCTTTTGTCTTACCATCAAAAAGAATGAAAATAATAATATGCTTTCTATTCCTCAGAAGACTTTATGAAAATTACATAATAGTAAACCTGAAAGTGTTTTAGTACTTCTAAAGTTTTATGAAAGGTCAAAGTGAAATTTTAAATTTTAAATTACTGAATCACTAAAGTGTGGATAACCCCCTCCCTCATGCTTTTGTTTTCTAGTAAGTGCACAGGTTACCATGCCAGGCATGATTTATCTAATACTGCAGTAGAAGAGGCAGAAACTACTTTTGATAGTTACTTTGGCCTACTTTGACCTCTCCCAGAGTCTCCAACCTAGTGAAGACTAGTAAGGTAAATTTGCTCTTTAGGGACTTCCCTGGCAGTCCAGTGGTTAAGACTCTGTGCTTCCACTGTAGGGGGCACGAGTTCAATCCCTGGTCAAGGAATTAAGCTCCCACGTGCCGTGCAGTGAAGCCAAAAAAAAAATTTTTTTTGCTCTGTATTTACTAAAACTTGTGATTAAATTAAAATTTTTTCAAAGACCCAAATAAATTAGTTTGATAGATTCATTTTCCATTACATAAGTTGTTT